TATGTGGGAAGATTTGCATAACGCCGCCCAAATGTTCACACAAAGAAAGAAGGCGTAACTTTTATTCTTGCTGTAGTATTGTACTTTGTTTGGTCTTCCAAAAGAGGACGATATCTGCTTCGTCATGCCTGGAGCTGGTCTGTGCTGCTCACTGACGAAATACTACAACTTTGCGCTGTCGATCGCCGGATCAGCTTTCATCATGGACGAAGTGGAGTCCAGCCCGGGGTCATCACATGTGGTTGCTCACTCTAACCCTCCCGCCGTTCCTCACGCTAGCCCCCGGCCTCTGCTCACTGTAGGCCGCGGTGTGTGACGGCACTAGTGTTCAGAATCTCATGTCGTTCAAACTCTCACTGGAATTTAACATTGGCCACCGTTTATTTAATCGAATATATCGTGTGTTTCTATGTGCATTTCTGATTGGAGCGTGTGAACGGGACTTTTATTTTGGAAGGGCTGTGTGACGTCATAAGGCTGCGCTGGTAACCAGGAGCTTGTAACTATGCAGGTCTAGTTTTGAGTGTTTTTTTCTGGCTAATCAGTTCTGTTTTAGCCTCGGAGCTGAAGTGGAAGGACATTTAATAATGTTTGTGAGCGCTACAGTCTCTGAGCAACACAGACTGAAGACATAGCCACTTTTTTAATTTAGTGTGCGTTTTTCTTTCTTGATTTTTCTCTGAAAAGCATCCACGTGACACACTATTGTAAAGATGGCGTTTATTAAAGAGGAGAGTGAAGACATTAGGATTGCAGAAGTATTCAGCATCAAACATGAAGAGACTGAGGAACAAACAGGTTGGTGTCTTTCTCAAAGCTGAACTCAGTCAGTTGAGTCTTCTTCACAGTACAGCTCTACAGTTGGGCTCTGGTGGTTGTGCCATTTGTTTTATGTGTGGCGCTCGCCACAATATCAAAACTGACCGGTTTTCCAAAAGGCTTGGTTTAAAAACCTAAAAGAGGTGCGGGTGTTTTTATATCACTGTATTTCTGAAGGAAGACTAGCTTTAGAAAATCATTTGCATGTCATATGCCTGATAAAGCAGTGTTTGTGAGCGCAGTGCTGCTGTGTGCTCAGCCGTTACTGGGGACACCTGTTTCTCCCGCTTTAAAGCACCTCCTGCTGGCAGAGAATGAATTTGCATTTTCAGGAAGTCCGTCTGCTTTACGCGGCAAACTTATTTTGCTTTTCCTATATCCACTGGCGCTGCGGATAATCCGCACAGTGTGAATTATCAAAGACGTGATCTCGCCGGGGGAATCGTCGACGCCCGAGAAATATTTGGCATGCTAAATATCTGGAGCTGTTGGCGATTCACAATCACGCTGTGTGCAATGAGTTCTGACTGAAAAACACATCGGCGATGACCTACAGCCAATGAGAGACCAAGATACAGGGCAGCGGGACGTTCGGGCAGGAGTTATATGAAACGTCTGCTGTTTATGCTTCGTGCAGATGGTTTTATGTAGCATCATTTCACAAACTAAAGTCAGACCATTCGGTTTTGCTGCAGATTTTGAAATAATACAGTCTAATATAAATCAAACATTGCACATTTTTTTGGGATCGATTCATGATTAAAATGCAGTGGTTGCCTCTAATTTCAAATGGCTAAAAATCAAGGTGCAACACAGAGTGTTTTATATGCGATTTTTCCATTTCTGTACCTGAACATCTACAAACAAAACCTAAAGCATCATTTAATTTCTATCTTTGTGCTATATTTATTTCTGGGGTAGCAAAATTAAAATCGAGGACTGTAAAATTTAATTGGTATTTAAAATATTGGTGTCATATAAGCTTATTTATTAGAATACAAGATAACAGATCAAAAACAGTGATAACAGCAACTGTTTTATTTGTATTTTTTTGTGGGGGTCAGTGAAAATATTGGCAGGGCAAGTAGAAAAAATCCTTAGCGTTGAGCCCTGAAGACATGATCGCGTCAACACCCGTCGATGCTAACATGCTTATCTGCCTGTTATGTATAGTCGTGCATGATGCCTGCATCAGATGTTTTTATCTGTGCATCTGAGACATATTAGGGTGTGATTTGGCCATGCAAGCTCACAGGCAAGTGGCTTATTTTGAAGCAAACAACCTAAAGTAAGAACTGCAATAGTGTTTTTTTGGCTGATTACAGCACACAGATGTAGTAATCGAGATAGGAGTGCGACGCATGTGTTTTCTTGTTTACGGTAATCAACTCCGTCATCATGATTCTTTTGAGAACTACTGTGAAAAGTGTTGGATAAACAACATAAACTGCATAGTTACAGTCTGGAGAATGAGTGTTTTCATTTGATATGTGACTTGCCTATGTTTGGTAAGTTTGTGCGATATGAGTATGATTTTTATTCGTACGATCCAGACGAGGGGGGGCCGGATGTCGGGGGGCAAATTCAGACCGTAATTGTTATTTTATATAACATAAATGCAAAATTGATGCAGCTTTTATGAAAGTTTAGATTATAAGCTTTCAAAATATATCATATATGTCTATATTTGTGCTCCAACACTTGCAATATTATCAAAAAATATGCGCGATGACACAATTTCTGTACCGGTATTGCGACCTGAAAGGGGTAAAATACATTTACATTTAGACATTTTGCAGATGCTTTTATCCAAAGCGACTTACAATACATAAAGCGATTCATCAAAGAGGCAAACAGTCACAGGAAGTGTTCGCAATAGCAAGTTTCAGGCATTGTTTAAATCAGTACAAGCTAGAAATGGAAGGAATAAATAAAGATGCGGCTCCAGACTCATTCTTCCCACTGGTCGCTCTTTTGCGACTAACTTTCTCAGTTGGTCGCACGAGCACATGATTTGGTCGCAATTTGTATTATTTTTTTGTTATTATTGAATTTTTTTTTCACTACAACATGCGATTAATCCATGCATGCTGATGAACTTTTATGATAGTTTTTAGTTATATGGAAACGAAAGGGGTTAACATTCAGCCCATTCTTTTTCAGCAGTAGTATAAGCCCGGCTTCGGATGCTTTTCACTTTTCGAAATCATAATATTGTCACGTTTTGAAATAAAATATATGTAATTGTCTGTTTTGCTTACATACTGTACATCTACACGCACCTTCCACTTTAAGACTAAAACAAATTATGGATTCATTATTATTCTTAAAAAGCACAACAACAATAAAACGATAAGATACAATGACAAATTTGCTTACAAAGCATTTATTAACAAAAACGAATTTATATTAATGTATTATATACTGACTAATAAATTACAGAACGTTTAGCAAACACTGAGGAATCAAATAAAATAAAAGAGAGCCTCCATAGTGTAACGTGAGGTAAACCGCAAAGATAACAAGCTTTTCAAAATTAAAACAAAAAGAAAAGTAAAACTAAACTTGCTGTTGGTGACAGTGCTTGCATGTTTTTTTTCCCCACAAGAATACCAACATGTTGACCTTCTCTGGTTTAAGAAACGGTATTTTACTTTACTTAAGCTTGAAAACCATCCATCGTTTCCTCAATATTCATGTCCTTTTTGCTGCGTGCACCTTCGCGCTCGTGCTGACGAGGCAAGTATAAACCAGGCTCTACTCTATAAGCGCTGCGCAGTTCAAACAAGTAGCGCGGCTTCGTTATGCTTTCAGTTTTGTTCACTGTTTGACTGGATGCACTGTTAACGAAATCGCCTGTGCATTAATTTTAAATAGTTATATGAACATTTTGCAGTCGCATCAGTGTGACCTCCAAAAAAAATTAGTCGCACCAGCAGGAAAAATGGTTGCAAAATGCAACCATTTGGTCGCAGTCTGGAGCCCTGAAAGAGTTTTTTTAAATTTAGGATGAAGTCGAGTAGCGTAGAGTAGGGTGGGAAGATCATTCCACCAGCCAGGAACAGTGAACGAGAATGTTCTGGAAAGTGATTTAGTGCCTCTCTGTGATGGTACCACGAGGCGTCACTCACTAGTGGATTTTAGACTTCCAGAGGGGATGTAGATTCGTAATAGTGAGTGGAAGTAGGCGGGTGCTGAGCCTGTGGTTGTTCTGTATGCAAGCATCAATGTCTTGAACTTGATGCGAGCTGCAACTGGTAGCCAGTGCAAGGAGATAAAGAGAGGTGTAACATGGGCGCTTTTGGGCTCGTTGAAAACCAGTCGTGCCGCTGCATTCTGAATCATTTGTAGAGGTTTGATTGTGCTTGATGGAAGTCCAGCCAGAAGAGCATTGCAGTAGTCCAGCCTAGAGATGACAAGGGCCTGGACAAGAAGTTTTGCAGCATGTTCCGTTAGAAAGGGCCTGATCTTTCTGATGTTGTGTAATGCAAACCTGCAAGATCGGGCAGTCTTTGCATTGCGGTCTTTGAAGGTTAACTGGTCATCAAAGATTACACCAAGATTTCTGACCGAAGTTGATGGGGTAATTGTAGAAGAACCTAGCTGGATGGTGAAATCAGTGGCAGGGAAGACAAGAAGCTCAGTCTTTG